GGACTACAGCCCACTTCTTCGGTGGGCTGTAGTCCACGAAAGCTTATGCTCTAATAAATTTTAGTCTCTAAGGTGCCACAAGTACTCCTGTTCTTTTTTCGTTGATAAATGATTTCCTTGCCAGGCAGGATGCTATGAAGCTAAGTTTTCTTTAACCATCTTAAGATCAGTTTCTTTGTCTGGTGGTGGTGGAAACAATCAGGACAGGACCGTCTTCCTAACAGCCCAATACCACCTTACTTCAATGTGACTAGTTTGGGATGTGACCCTACGCTTCACAGCTTATGGATGCCCCTGATGCTTAGCCAAAGAACAAGGCCTCAGACTATCCTAGTGAGAGAAGGCCCATACACAGGCAACTGATTTTGATTCTTTGTTTTTTATATTCCTGTAACTAGCTAAGTGATAAATACACCTAAGTTCTTAAAGTATAGGCCTTTACAGGCAGGCCTGAATATCTATATTCTAACAACTAGGTTGATTATATTAAATGTGAAAATGAACTTAAATTTTTGACATTGACTCTTGTGCAGAATTCTCAGGTTCTTGCTGGAGCACTTCTGAAATCAGTTGGCCTTGCTGCAAAATTTAGTTCTAGCTTGCCACACAAGTAGTGGGGCTAAGAGGAATGAAAAATTCATTCTTCCAAATGAGGGAATGGAGGTGCACAAGGAGTGTTAACCTAATCAGGCTTTTGAAGTTTAATGTTTGTATAGCAGTTGAAATGTGATGTGCTATATGATGCTTTCTACACAGGAATCTTTACCCGTTTAAATCTGTTTAAATTCAAGACATGTTTTATCTAATCACCGTAGGCCAGCCAAAACCATAGTCCTTCAGGCTGTTGAGGCTACTTATGCACTGACAAGGAAAGTAATTTTAATCAGTATCTAAAACCATTTTCTTAATGGGTAAAGTGGGTACCTCTGTATTGGAGTAAATGCTTGTGGTGAGTGTGACTTGAGGACTAAAGAGTCCTGAAACTCAAATGTTATAACTTTCAAACTGTTAGTATTAGCTAAGCTATATATACGCACAATCTTTCTACATATACACTTTGCTTTGAACTGTTGTCCTCGGCTTCATTTTTTTTTTAGATGGGATTTCTTTCACTGGTAGTCAGGTGTTGCTACCCCAGCTTAAGTATTGGCATTTCTTTTACTAGATTTATTAGAAAATCCCTCTCTCTTTTAGTGTGAGATCTCATGTCTCAGTTTTTAGTTGGAACTTATTGCTCTGAAGACCTCCAGTATCCTTTGTAACTTTCCCTGGTCCATGGAATTTGCCTCTTTTACAATCTTTGTGAAACTGCAGTGCAAACCTCAATTTTTTCCTCCTTCAGTACCATCTCACTTATTTTTGTGTGTGTTTTTACAAACTAAAGAGCCCATCTAGGGCTCTAGGTGCTGTTGACAGTTTTTGGTAAAAGCGCAACATATCAACAGATCTGTTGCTTCTCCCAGAGAAAATTGGATACCCCAGTGACAGCGTAAATATAAATGTATCTCAGTTGTTAAATGCCATATGACGGTTTCTACCCCCTGTAGATGAGTCATCTGTTATGACACTTCTAGTATTTAGAGAGGTTCTCTAGTGGAACTCAACCGATTTTAGCTAGACATTGAGAAAAGTGACCATTTTCGTGTACAGGGGTGTAATCACATTTCTCATCCACAAGTGCCTTTTTAGAGTAATTGAGACTACACATTGAATCTAGGGCAGGAGTGAGCAAACTACGGCCCAGGGGCTGCATCTGGCCCTCCAGATGTTTTAATCCAGCCCTGGACCTCCAGCTGGGGATGGGGTTGGGGGCTTGCCCCGCTCCACATGGCTCTGAGAAGCTGTGGCATGTCCCCCTTCCAGCTCCTACGTGTAGGGGCAGCCAAGGGGTCTGCACACTGCCCCCACCACAAGCGCCACCCCCACAGCTCCCATTGGTCAGAAACCATGGCCAATGGGAGCTGCAGGGGGTGGCGCCTGCGGACAGGGCAGTGTGCAGAGCCACCTGGCCACGCCTCCTCATAGGAGCCGGAGGGGGGACATGCCGCTGCTACTGGTAGCTGCTTGAGGTTAGCGCTGCCCGGAGCCTGCACTCCTGCACCCCCGACCCCCAATTTTGTGAGCATTCCTGGCCATACCCAGATACAATCTCCATACCCAGATGTGGCCCTCGGGCCAAAAAGTTTGCCCACCCCGACCTAGGGCATTCTTTCTCCTTTCCCTAGTATCATTTCAAGAATTAAAACGAAACCACTTCTCATCCTGTTGGGAATGTCCTTGCAGAACAACCCTGTAACAACATAGGGATCTTATCAATATTATGATGTACCAGAAAATGACCTAAAATCTCTTAAAATTGAAGAATCTCTGCCATTTAATAGAAAAAATGCACAAATTGAGTAACTGAAGACATTTCACAAGGGATTTATCTTGATTTCTTTGGAAGGAACAGCTGCCCCTATGTGTGAATAGCAGTAGAAAAATTGACCATAATACTGTTAATTTCACTCTGCCATTCTTTGGCAAAACTGAACTGCAGGAGAAGTTTGAAGTCTCCAACTGTAAAATTCAGGCCTTGTTGATCCATAATTTGTGTGATTTGTTGTGAAAGCAAACAAATACAGGCCCATTTAGATTGACTTAGAGATGCCACACTTACCTTTCTAGTTACAGTGGCAAAGTACCATAAATAAAAGATAACAGAATATTCCAGTCTAGCCAGTATAACAGGTCCTGATTTAGAGTGAAGTCATAGAATCTGTTGTAAAAGAATGGGGAGGGGTGGTATATAGTGAACTTGCCTGCTGCTGTTTTTTGTTAAAGTGCCTAGACTGCAATTGACTGCTATACTTTACATTAGCTCTATAGATGGTCTGAACTAAGCTTTGTCATTAACACCTCAGATTAAATTAAACGTTTTGGAGGGAAGGGGGTAAACTTTGGTTACCTCTGTCTTGCTATATGCAGTGATGATGTAGCTGTGTCCCTCCCAGGATATTAGCAACAAGGTGGGTGAGGCAATATATTTTAATGGACCAACTTCTGTTGGTGAGAGAGAAACTTTTGAGCTTCCACAGAGCTCTTCTGGGTTCTTTTCCCAGACCTGAAGAAGAGCTTTGTGGAGGCTCAAAAGCTTGTCTCTCCCACCAACAGAAGTTGATCCAATAAAAGATCATACCTCACCCACGCTGTATCTGTTTTGCTAGACCGTTTTCTGCAGTGTTGAAGGAAAAAGTACAAAGTGAACTGGTTTATGTTGTCAGGACTTTCTAATGGAGCAGAAAAAAAATTACTACTTAAGAGTATTTTGAAGAAACTTTGAGAGGTGAGGCAGTACAGAAAAATAGGTTATTTTTTTTGTTTGCCTTCCAATAACTGCCTATCCTACACAGTGATACACTCTTGTTTGACTGAAGGTACAGGAAAATTGAAATCCCCTTTAATGCCATATTGGCCTGCATTTTTCTCTTTGTTAAAGTATTAGCAAGTGGTGAGCTTGCTAAAACCATAACTGGTCAAAAGTGTTTTTATTTCAAGTGTTCGTAAACTCACCACAGACCAAGATGAATGTGAAAGCTACTTCTGCTATAAAAACTGTTAAGCTGCATCGTCAAAATTTCCATATGTCTGTGCATCACAATACTCAAGTCTAAGTTTCTTAAACCTTTGACATATAGCAAAGTGCTTGGTTTTAGTAACTTGTAAGTGAAATACATGTGATTTCTAACACTAATCCATTATAGAAAGAGGTGGCTAGTTTGCTTTCCTTGCACTCATGACTTCTTGATGTCTTAGAGGTTAGCTGTGAAGATTTTTTTTTTTAAATCTCTGCAATCTTTTAGTATACTAAGAATAAGTAAACTGACTTACTTTTGACTACAGAAATGGCAGTTGACACTGTTTTTCAATGCAATTCAAGGCCATTGCTATTTTAACTGAGAAATCTGAGATTGAGACGTCTGGTTTTACTGTGTTGATTTCACAACTGTTATAAATGGACTAAAATCTTTCATTCTAAATCCCTATTTTCCTTCCCTTTTGTGAAGTCACTCGAGAAACCATGTCTGCTGTTCAGATTTCTCAGGATTTTTAAAAACATACTTGAGTGAAATTGTTACATAATGTTAATTGCATTTTTTAAAAGCATGTTGTATTCCTTTTGTAATCTTTTTTTCTCTAAAAGATGAACTGAAAAGACTGATCTATTGGTGGGTGGGCCCCCCCGTGAGCCCCCCCTCTTTTTTATATAATATATACAAAAATCACACCATATGTAGGATCCATCTTACATCAAGGTGAAGAGGAAATGAAACAGCTGTGCTGCTGTTTGTCCAGAATAGAAATGATAAATTTCAGATTTTTTGCATAGTGAAGACATTTTACCTGTTCTTTGCCCCTTGTGGTGTTAAGTATTTTTAAGGAAGGAAATCTTAAATTTGTTGGGCTTCATTTAATTCTTCATGCTATTTTTTTTCTCCTGCATTGGGGTATCTAAAAGCTACAAGTAGTAATTCTGTTCTTACTGTTGACTTTCAAAGTATCAGCACTCAATTTACTAACTTATTTAAATTGCCAGGGCTAGCAGGTCTTGTTACTCTTTAGTGAAGACATTCTTAATACCAACCACAACTGCTCCTGTTGATAGGTTTGCCAAATCAGTCTCTTTTATCCAGGAAAAACAATGTAAGGATTTTCTGTACATCCAGGTGGACAGTAGCTCAGGCACTTCACTCACTCTCTCTGAACACAATGTTTTCTATTTAGGAACTTAGTGACTTAGCCCGTGACCCTCCAGCACAGTGTTCTGCAGGTCCAGTTGGAGATGATAGTAAGTAGTAGTATTAAATTTCAATATTTTGTTCTCATTTTAATTCAAAAAGTATATAGTGTCTAAGTAATAACACTGACTTTTTTTCCTTTTTAGTGTTCCATTGGCAAGCCACAATTATGGGACCTGTAAGTATTCTGACTCCCATGAATGTCAATACTAACTAATTCTTATTCAACAAGAACTGTCTTCAGATTTCTCCAGTCTTTTTTAATTTAGACCCTCTCAAAAATGCCAGTTTGAGAACCGGGGGGGGGGGGGGTGAGGGGAGGAGGAGGAGTGAGTTTTGAGTTATGCAGATTCCTCATTGTTGGCATGTCACTTCCATGACATGACATGTACCTGAATTAAAATGTCCTGCATAGCAATGCAAGGTGTTGTCATTTTGTAATGTAGAATGTTTGTATGCCAAAGAGTTTCTATAGTTCTGATCCCCCCCAGGGGCCTTGTCTGCATGCAGAATTTCAGCTGTCAATATAGCTCCCCTGGTGCAAACCCTTCGTGTAGATGAGGAAAATTGAGTTTTGGACTGGTAGAGCTTACCATGGTTTCAAGCATTTCTGTAAAAATAGAAAAGTTTTTCTGAAGTGCCAAGTGTTCTGAGTGCATACAGGAGGAAAATATGCTGTGCATGCTTACTATGCATTTTTAAACTTGAATGTGATTTGTATAACTTGACTAGGAAGAAGAATGTCTAAAGCCCCTTGCCCTTATTGAGGATTAAGTCCATTACAAGTTAGACTTCTTAATACTTCAGTTAACCAAGTAGTTGAAGCTCCTAAGAAACCACACTGAAATACTAAAGTATATCAAATGGCCAAACGTAACTTTATCAAGTTTTTTCTAAAACATGCATATTTGGATTAAAGCTATTTTAAAAAAGTACCCTGAGTAGTCTTCCAGGAAGCTGTAGCTAGATGCCTTATAACAAAGTTCTCCCTTCAGTAAAAATAGTACACTGGTGTATGTTTTGTATTTGGGATCTGAAAACATCTTTTTTGTATAATGAAGAGAATTATATTAATGTGCAATTCTCCTCTAAAAAGATTTTTTTAACATGATTAAGGTTCCATATCTAGAACAACTCCAGACTTTCTCAGTTTACAGGTGGAGTGATATAATTGCCAGCTGTGCATGCTCAGCCTGGGATCTGAACATTGGATTAGATTCTCTCTGTTATGCATAATGAGCAATAAGATTCTGCAGGCCAAAATCAGGTCTTGCTTACACCTGTACAACCTCACTGAAGGCTAATGGGGTTGCATATATGTAACTGAAGGCTTGTTTCATCTGCAGTGTCACTATTAATGGGGTATGAGAAGGTACTAGGTCATTTTCAGATTCCAGGCTCTGTTGGGCCTGGCAGTTCATGTAAAATTTAAAAATGTGAGCAAATTGAATCAAGAGTCAAGTGCCAATAAACATGGAACCCCTTCAGTGACACTTTCAGGCCATGTCTAAATTCCAGCTTCTGCAGTGGCATAGCTAAGGTGTCATAGTTATGCTGTTGTAACCCTGGGTTATAGATGCAGACTGCAGTGGCAGAAGGAATTTTTCTGTCACTATAGGAACTTCACTTACCTGAGTGACGGCAGCTAGGTCTATGGAAGCATTCTTCCATCAGCCTAGCTGGGTCTACAGCAAGAGTTAGGTTGGCATAGCTATGGGGCTTAAGGGTGTGGATTTGTCACATCCCTGAGTGCCATAGCTATATTGACCTAAATTAAGTGTAGATTAGGCCTTAGTCATGTTAGAGTAGAACTTAATTATCAGATCAGTGTTAATGTTCTACTTTGACCCTCCACATATGTCCAAATGTGGTTTAGGTATTCTATTGATACCAGTTAGTGCAGCGCTTCTTTTGGGTGTCAAACTGAAGAATCCTTTTATCTTCAGCTCAAAGTTCAAATGCTGGATTTGTTCTTATAGCATGTTATCCCTTTGCATGCAACGAAGTATGCACTCCAGAGAGACCAGAATGTTTGCTTAATAGCTATACTAATATTTGAAGTAAACTTCCAAAAGTATGGAATGATCTCCATTGTATGTCATTGAGTAATACTTCTATGATTGACTCTGCATGGTCACAGAACACTAAAAGTATAGTTGGACTTCAAATACAGAAATATTTTCTTTTGTTCTACCTCTCCCTGCTCGTTCAGTGTTGTTTATCCTCTTTTTCTCACTTTAATCTTTGAGCTATCAGTCAAGAGGCATTTATTAGTTATGCCCTTTGGAATAGCATGAGCACATACTTTAGAACAGAATTTTAGAGAGAATTATCCTAGCTTTAGGATAATAGCTTAGTGGTCCACTGGTGTTGTAGGCCTCATACCTTAATGACAGGGTAGGCATTGGTAGTGCAGATGACGTAACATATTCCATATCTGAGATCCACTACTGACAGAGAAGTCTGATAGTAAGGATTGAGTTCTCATTGTCAAAGACGTATTAGGAAGCTTTCATAGTTCTTTTCTACACTTGTTCTAACCAGTTCTGTGACTTCACTTTAATAACTAGTAAGACTTGCCTCCAGCATGTATACAATAAAAGGGTTGAAGTAGTTCTTGAACTTCTCATTTGACAATATAGCAGTTTTTCAGTGACTGCTACATGCGCTTAATCTCTGCCAAGGCTTTCTCATTGAAGTGTCAACTCTAACATTGTTTTTGCCACTTGACATATCTGTTGGCTTTTTACTACATTGCTTCATTTGCAGATATTAAAGGATATATATAAACTAAAGGAATAGGATCTGGCTAGTCTGTATATAAACAAGTGATTGGTCTTAAAGGATATAATATTTAAAAAATATATCAACAGAATAAAGCCAGCTTCCAGTATTCCTGTAAACCAAGTATGTGAAACCCATTGTGACAAGGATCAAATTACCCTTTTTTGCTCAGTCCTGAGGCCAAGAGTGTGTGTGTGATTTAAAAAAAGGCAATAAGAAAGAACTACAAAATTTGCCTATCACGGAATGTGCTGCTTTAGCCAGCAAAGTTAAATATTGCACTTAAAAAGACTTTTTAATAAAGCTTTTACTTTTTCTAAAACTTCCTCTTTTGTATGTGCTTCTCTCCTTCCTCTCTCTCTCTCTTTCTCCTCCTCCCCCCTCCCCGTCCCCTCCTCCCCATGACAAGTCACTGGCTCAGTCTCCACCTTTTGAGAGTATTCTCTGTTGCCCTACTTTGGGTGGTAATTCCACCACCACCACTTGAACCTGAGAATTTCCCCCCATTGAGGTTATCATTATGATTGCCTTTTTCCTGAGCAGGGGAAGAAAATACATTTCCAGGAACCTGGTTATGTGCAACCCAGAGGCAGGGATCCAGGCATATGGCGAGAGAAAGCACTGGCAGGCTAAGCAGTGATGATGGCAGGGACAGAATATGCAGAAGGCTGGAAAGGACTGCAACTGGCCTACAAACAACTGCTACAAGGGCAGGGGGAATAGGGCTCAGTTGCTTGTGGCTAGTCAGGCACTTACTCCCTACTAAGCTCCTCTCATTCCAGCTTTCTTCTGACTCTCTGAGCTGCTGCAGTTTGGATACATCTGGAACTGCAGGGTGGAAGAAGCTGTAAGAACCAGCATGTTCTGGCCTGCATGTGACACACTTGCTTTAAACTAAGGCTTTACAGAATACAATTGTTTTAGGAGGAAATTAATTGTCAGTGACCAACTTGATTTGCTACAGTCAGTTATCTCTTTCCACCAATATTAAGCCCAGGTATCATCAAAATTCAATGCTTATATTGTGGATTAAACATCTTATTTGTGTTTAAGTGAATGATTTGCCTTGCTAATTGAGTAGTGTATCTTCTCACAAAAGTTAATTCAGGAGTATAATTACAGTGGACATGTTTCTTCGACAGAATGACAGTCCATATCAAGGCGGCGTATTCTTCTTGACAATTCACTTTCCTACAGACTACCCTTTCAAACCACCTAAGGCAAGTAGTCTTTTCTTTGTGAGACTAATGCTCTTTAATGAGCCGAGCATAGGAACGGAAATCGGGAACATCTGAATTCTAATAGCAGCGCTGCTTCACTTGGGCTTTTTTGTCTTCACTGCCAGACAAGTGGAAATGATATTTATAAATATAAAGTGTTGATAACTCATGTTTTGTACAGTGGTGAGAAAAAGTAGCATATAAGTGCTGAGTATCTGATTCAAATGCTTTGTGTTCAGGGGCCACAATACATATTTCAGTAAGTCTGGTGTACCTTATCTGTGCTTATGTGTAACTCTTATTAATTATGCTATTTAACATATGTGAAACAAATACTTATCTATTTTTTGTTATAGGTTGCATTTACAACAAGAATCTATCATCCAAATATTAACAGTAATGGCAGCATTTGTCTCGATATTCTAAGATCACAGTGGTCTCCTGCTTTAACTATTTCTAAAGGTGAAGAAAATATTACAATTTCCATCTTCCTTTTGATACTGTAATTTTTTTGCTTAGTTTTTCTTGGCATTCCATGAATCTCCCATTATACTCTAGCCTGAGAAGAGAAGGGCATCTTGCATATGTGGTAATGATTACATTGTCGCATGCTTATTTATTTCACCTTTTATTTAAAAAAACAAAACTTTGTGCAGTTTTACTTTAGCTAATATAGAGCAGTTTTCTACTCACCAACATGAACCAGTGCAGTTGAATCCCTGTATGAACACTTACATTAGAGTGGCTTATTTCAGTTTTAACCTATTCCTAAATTAAGATAATCTGAAATTAACCTGGTTTTAAACCAAAATAAGTGTCTACACAACCTTTTGCATTGGTTTAAGTAGGTTGGTCTAAAATTGTAACTTAAGTTGGTGCATCTGTGCACATAGAAAACTACTAATTTTAGTTGATCAGTCTAATGCTTTGCAGTTAATTGCTAGCTGCTAGCATGGAGTATTAATTTCCATATATGAATTTAGGAATCATATTTTAGATTGTGATCAGTACTGCTTTGTGTTTTTTCACTTCCACTTCCTGTAAATGTGAATATTCTCATTAAATCTAATGAATTCAACTCCTGAAACTAATTGACTTCAAGAAAAGCTCACCAGAGCTCACTTCCCTTTTTTGGTTTGGTAGATCCCCGTGAGATCGGTTGCACTAGTCAGAATAAGCAAAGGGTTCCTTTATCTATAGAACTAGTGATTCCTGCCTATTCATGGAGCAAGAACCAAGCTTGGGTCTGAATTTGGATCTGCATGTTGTGTTGACGCTATACCCCCAGCTTGCTTGTTCTGAATTTTACACAGGTTTAAAAACCACTGATGGGAAATGAAGAATGTAAAGAATAAGTTGCTTCAAACAGTATTTCTCCATAGTAGTCTTACTTTAGTGTTTCTTTTTATCTTATCAGTATGTATCTAGTTTGATCAGCCTAGAATATTACTGTATTATTACTTTGCAGAGAAGAAATCACATCTGATTCTAATCTGTTTATCAGAGACTTCTAGCTGAAAGAGCTGATTGCCACTGTAACGTTATAGTTTGGACAGCGTTACCTTTCTCTGTATATATTTGTGGGACACTGGGAGCTGCTAGAGTCAGAGGAGTTCAGGAACAAACAAAAGGGGGAGGGGGGGTTAGTTAAACAATTTATAAATATATTTTAATGATTGTGAGCCACACATTTAGAGTTGGGCTTTGCAATTTGCCTCTAAACTTACTCAGCATGCATCATAAGACTAATGAATTTTTTCTTTATAGCATACTGAGGTTGTCCTAACAAAGCAAAAAACTATATTTCCATTGTATTTAATTGAGATCTTTGTTCAGATTTCACTGAGCAATCTTTTTGGTTATTTTGCAGTTCTCTTATCCATTTGTTCACTGTTATGTGATCCAAATCCAGATGACCCCCTAGTGCCAGAGATTGCACGTATCTATAAAACAGACAGAGACAAGTAAGTACAGGATTATATAAGGATAATTTACTAATATATTGTGAAACATACTCTTCTTGTGTTAGAAAACAATGGTGGGGAATGAATGTTACTTGTGATCTCTCCATCTTAGACTGAATTTGTGGCATAGGAAGGAGTAATTGGTATTTTTTGGCTATGGAAACGTAACTACGAAGAAATGTGTGTTATCTTTGAAACTGCAGGGAGGTGTTTCACTAATGTTGCAGTGATTTGTATTTGACAGGTTATCTAAAATTATTGGTTTACTCTAAGCAGTCTCATGTGAGACTCTGAAATAGTATCAGTTCATATAAAACCTCTAAAGTTTGAGGAGAGAAATTACCCTTGTAAATACTCTAGTGCCTTCGTTTGATAACTGCATACTTTTTCCATTTTGGTGCTTCCCATTGGATAAAGGCTTTATGATCTTCTATCTGCGTAGAAACTGTTTTGTCTCAAACATGGTTTTTACAGTTTCACTGAGTTCTAGTGAACTCAGTGAAATAGCTGTTGAAGTTTGTATATTAATATTAAATATACTTGTCCAATTAGGTACAATAGGTTAGCAAGAGAGTGGACAGAGAAATACGCTATGCTGTAGGGTAAGAATATTTGCACTTGATGGTGCATTTAACAAAATGGGGACGGTCAGCACTTGAGTGCTGCATGCTTTAAGGCACTGGATTAACTAACAAAGATAATGGATTTATCAGTTACTGAACCTGAATATTTAACAGCTTGATCTGTGATTAGTGTGAAATGTATTTGCCAATTACTATATCTCACAAATAGATAATATTCTTGCATGGCAAAACAAACATAGTGGTAGTAAGAAACAGATTTTTTTGAATTGTTGAGGTTCTGAGATATCTTGTACCTCTGTCCTGGTGAGTATTTAATCAAATTTTGTAGAGACTGGGGGTGGAGGGAACTGGTCTGTGTAGTCAAACCACCGTGTATAAATAAAAATCTAGATGGTCCAAATTCATACTCTGTGTGTACAGGCAAAAAGGAAAAATTACTGTTTTGGGTTTTTTACTTTCTGCTTGTATAGTTGGAAATTAACTTAATACTGACAAGCATGCTGTTAAGTAAACTAATTGTATCTGTCCAATTCCTGTAGATTAGTGTGTTGTACAAAAAGTTAATGGCCTATTTTAATATCCCTTTCTAAAAGCAAACATTGGCTGGAATTCACTATCATTTTTCAGTTAAAACTTCTGTGCCTGGGCAGTATGCTGGTATGAAAAATGGGGTCTTGCGTCATTCTGCAACTGAAATAGAAATTTTGTCAGGACATAACTGAAAATCCACTAATAACATAATTGACTGTGGGGTTCAATATATCCTCTCTAATCATAGCATGTAGTATTCTTTAGACTTCGTTCTAAAACCAGGCTCCAAACAACCTAATATATCTAGCAAAAAAGTGAACTTTTAATTTTCACCCCTTTTTACTGTCCTCCACCCATCCCCAATGCTATATTCTTTCATAACATGCTTCTAGCAACTTACCTGTCTTCTATGCAATCTAAGTGTGTTTCATATAGTCTCAAAATGTAGGCTTTTGTTCTAAGTTTCTTGAAAACGTTCTAGTAAGACTTGTTTTTCTTCAGTAAAAGATCACATATGAAAGTATAGAAAGAACTGGAACAGCCAGTTGAAAGCAGCAGCAGTGAATTTCTTCAGTAAGAAATTACTGAAAACTATCACATTGTGCTTTAACTGGACCTGTTTAATGTGTTTCCTCCTTTATTCACAGATACAACAGAATATCTCGGGAATGGACTCAGAAGTATGCCATGTGATGATACCTTAAAGTCAGAATAACCTGCATTATAGCTGGAATAAACTTTAAATTACTGTTCCTTTTTTGATTTTCTTATCCGGCTGCTCCCCTATCAGACCTCATCTTTTTATTTTTTGTTTACCTCCTTCCATTCATGCACATGCTCATCTGAGAAGACTTTAGTTTTTCCAGCTTTGGACAATAACTGCTTTTAGAATCTATAAAGTAGTTACACAAGAACAATTGCCCAACATTCAGAAATTTTTTTAAAAGGAGCATGTGTATTATGTGGCCAATGTCTTCATTCTAACTTGGTTATGAGACTAAAACCATTCCTCACTGCTCTAACAGATACTGAAGATAGCACCTGAGGGGAGGGGAGATGGATGTTCACTTTTCTCACATCAATGGAAGTAACATTGCAGTAGCGACATCCATCCTGTTTTAAACCTTCCAGTGTTAGAGATTTGAGGTTTTTATTATATGCTTATGCTCATAACTGACATGGCTGAAGAATTGGTACAGAATCTATAGCATCAGAATCGAAAATGTGATGTATCTTATGCATGTCAATAAAAGAATGACCAGTTCTTGTTCTACAGAGAATGAAAATTTGGAAGTCAAACGTCCCTTGTATTCCAAAATAGGGTCTCGGAACATTTTTGTAATTCATTTAAATTTTGTTAGGAGGCTTGGAGCTATTAGTTAATCTGTCTTCCAGAACACTGTTTAATATAGCACTGAATAAATGAAGCAAGTTGTCAATGGATGAGTGATCAACTAATAGCTCTGCTAATAACTGATTTATTTTCTTCAATAAAGTTGCATAAACCAATGAGTTAGCTGCCTGGATTAATCAATATGGGAAACAATCTTTTGTAAAAGCAAAGCTGGTTTTTGTATATACTGTTGGGATTTGCCTCATTGTTTGACATCAAATAATGATGTAAAGTTCAATAGAGTGAATCTTTTGCCATTTTCAGTTATAATACTTGGTCTGTTGCAGGTTGACACATTGATCAGCCTGATGTATGCAGAATTAATAAGCTAACCTAGTAGTGTAGCCTTAGTGTGCTATACTTGGTACTGGGAGCCCAGAGTTCAGGGATGGACTTGGGACCCAGCAGATCTGAAGTGGTGTATTGTGGAGGCATTTCCAGATGCACCCTGTTTGCTGACTGAGAAGCTTTTCTTCACCTTGTACACACGATAGCTGAAAGATCTTAATGCGGGAGTAATAATGGGGCAAAAACTGCAAAATAAAGTACTGTTTTGATGTGGGAGTTGTCATGAGGCTGTGTTGAAGTGACTTTACTATGTGGGATGTTTGTTGTTCATTGAAAAGGACTTGTTCTGCCATGCTGCCATTTACATTAATGAATATTTTAATACAACAGACATTTATTTCAGGTGACTAAACGTGAATGAATAAAGAGTCATTGCTATTGGATTTTTTTATTTGACAAGAAACACTGTCTTGTGCCATTAGTTTCTTTCCTCTGCAACAAGGGCATTATTAATCATCCTGCTTTTTTCTTTCCTGCCATCTTTCTCATGGATTTCCTTATTTTTTTGTCTCCATTCTTACTGTTCATAGCTTCATTTTTTTCCTAGTCCTATGCTATCAGTTTGTGCATCTGTGACTGCTCTCTGGCACCACTTTTTGCACTGCTTATAGTTTATGTGCATTCTAATTCCTTGTCTCCACATGGATATGGAAAGTTAGATGTAAAATAAATGTTAAACCTTAACTTTTATAAAATATTTGAATATGTAGTTTGGTACATGGTTTGTTCTGGTTTTAAAATAGAGGTGCAATTCAAATACCATCTAGTTTTCTTAAATATGCTTTCTGGAATATTAGGCAAAGGTGTCATTCTTGACTAAGCATGGACCTATTACTAGTTCAGTAACCGGATTCTTGTGGTGGTCTTTTCCATTTCTACAGGGTGTATCTATATCAGTTCTTTTGGGATCAGGTGAATTTTTATAGATACAATTAATGTTAGCTGAGCATTGCAATTTAAGATTGAGAGGTAAGACAGTGTGCTCACATAATGTTTGTAAGCTGCAAAACATGTTGCTCAGACAGATGTCTTTATTGCTTGAGTGTTCATTTGATATATTTACTACCCCCTCTCCCAGGTACAATGTACTCCTCTTCAAACAAGTTATGGGCTTGTTGCGGGAATTAATGGGCAAAGTTTGTAGCTTGTGATATGCAGGTCAGATTAGTTTGTTAAATTTAGAAAGATGCATAATCTATTAATTGTATGAGGTACAGCAAACGCTTGCTGTAAGAGCAGTACCATCTAACTTGAGCAGAAAATCAAGCCAGAAGACGATGAAGTGACCTGATTAGGAAGAGAAAAGTAGAATCCAGTTGAGATAGTGAGGTCACTCTTATCCTGCCACAGGAAAAAAAATGCCTTGGTCCTCAATCTACCTGAGTAATTCACCTGCAAAGGCACCTACAAATTGAAGCTGGATTAGGTATGTTAGAGTGAGGAAGCATTGTGCAAAATCAAGATAGGATCTATATTTTAGCCAATCAGAAGTTTTCTGATGTTTTCTGTTGGTCAATATCAGTTCGCTGAAATTGAAAATTTCAGGTGTTCAGTGTATTCCCACTCATGGGATGTGCCAGACAGTGCTGCCTGAACTGTGTTTATAGTGTGAATTTATAGTGCGTTTCCATGGGAACGTGTCAACTTCAACTACATTTAGGATGGAAATTTGCCTCGTTCACTGCCAGTTTGCCTGCCTAGCTCCTTGGCAACTTCTCCATGAGAGCCAAGGAGCATATTTTTTTTGTCCTGGAAATACTGAAACATTCTCATAGCAGGAACATTTTAAGACTAAATATTGCGGGATTTCACTTCTCTCCATAAAATTTTTGAGAGTTAGGCTTTTGTCTATTGGGATGAAGCTTTTTTCCAGAACCTCGGTTTTTTGCAGAAGTGAAATTGTTTCCCAGACAGCTCTGAGATTTAAGTCAAGGATGGTGCATATAATAATGGAAGTAGCTCCTATGTTCTGAAGCTACTTTACAATTCAGAGGCTTAAATTGAATAGGAAAAATTAGGACTTTAAATATTCTAAATTACTTTTCTCTGATACAGCTACCAATTAGTCCATTATGTCGTCATGGCATAACAGAAAATATCAAATCAGTACAGGTCAGAGTTTTGTCGGTGTTAGGACAGCTTGAAGGAAAAAATTGACAACTCAATTTTAGTGTTAAACTCATACAGTAACTTGCTTGATAGGTTTTTTTAAGGTTATTTATGCTTTTCAGTGGGTTTTAGATTAGTCCCTAAACAAATATTAGTCAAATGTCCCAAATCTTCTAAACCTGTATCATTATCAAAGGTGTTTTTGATGTCAGTTATTTTGAATATGAGAAACAAAAAACAAGTGGAGAATAACTTAGGCGTTTAGTCTTTAAAAGCTTGTCAGGAAACAAGGGCAGTGAAAAACCTAGGGTATGTCTACACTACGAAATTAGGTCGATTTTATACAGTTGATCGTGTGTGTCCCCACTAAGCATATTAAGTCGGCGGAGTGCGTCCACAGTACCGAGGCTAGCGTCGACTTTCGGAGCGTTGCACTGTGGGTAGCTATCCCGCAGTCTCCGCCACCCATTGGAATTCTGGGTTGAGCTCCCAACGCCTGATGGGGCAAAAACATTGTCGTGGGTTTTTTTGGGTCAGCCCTCGCCCCCCGTGAAAGCAATGGCAAACAATCGTTTCTCGCCTTTTTTCCTGCGTTACCCGTGCAGACAACATACCACGGCAAAGCATGGAGCCCGCTCAGCTCACCGTCACTGTACGTCTCCTGGGTGCTGCTGGTAGACGTGGTACTGCATTGCTACACAGCAGCAGCTCCTTGCCTTCATGGCAGCAGACGATACAATACGACTGCTAGCTGTCATTGTCATCTCCTGGGTGCTTCTGGCTGACCTTGGTGAGGTCGGTAGGGGTGCCTGGACATAAATCGGAGTGACTCTAGGTCATTCTCTTCTTTAAGTTTTGTCTCATGGAGATTCAGTCCTGCCTGGAATATCATGCGAACTGGAGGCTTCTGCCTCAGGCTGCTCTCCCAGCTGGCAGCACCACACAGTCGCACCTACCCCTTGTTCCCATGGCTCGTGAAGCCTGGACAGTTCAACTATAGGCTGAGCAAGCGCAGAATGGTGGTAGAATGTGCCTTTGGATGTTTAAAAGCTCGCTGGTGCTGTTTGCTGACTAGGCTGTCTGTGATTAGAGCACAGCAAGGCGCGCTGTGCATCACAGAGGCTCTGAAAACCAGTTTCATGACTGGCCAGGCTTCGGTGTGACAGTTGTGTGTTTCTCCTTGATGCAAACCTGCCCCCTTTGTTGATTTTAATTCCCTATAAGCCATAGCATCAGTTGCCTCTCCCTCCGTGAGAGCAATGGAAGACAATCGTTTCGTGCCTTTTTTTCCATGCAGATGCCATACCACAGCAAGCATGCAACCCGCTCATCTCAGCTGCCGCTGTTGTGTCCTGGGTGCTGCTGGCAGCAGACAGTGCAGTAGGGCTGCAAACCATAGTCATCGAACGACCGCTTCTGCTGCCACTCTGCTCTCCTGCAGATGCCATACCACGGCAAGGCATGGAGCCCGCTCAGATCACCGCAGCAGTTATGAGCACTGTAAACACTATGTGCATCGTCCTGTAGTATATGCAGCACCAGAAACTTCAAAAGCAAGCGAGGAGGCGACAGCAGCGAGGACATGGACGTAGACTTCTCACAAAGTACGGGCCCCGGCAATGTGCACATCATGGTGTTAATAGGGCAGATTCATGCTGTGGAACGCCGATTCTGGGCCCGGGAAACAAGCACAGACTGGTGGGACCGCATAGTGTTGCAGGTCTGGGACGATTCCCAGTGGCTGTGAAACTTTCGCATGCGTAAGGGCATTTTCATGGAACTTTTGACTTGCTTTCCCCTGCCCTGAAGCGCAAGAATACCAAGATGAGAGCAGCCCTCACAGTTCACAAGCGAGTTGCGATAGCCCTCTGGACACTTGCAATGCCAGACAGCTACTGGTCAGTCGGGAATCATTTTGGAGTGGGCAAAGCTACTGTGAGGGGTGCTGTGATCCAAGTAGCAACGCGATCACTGAGCTGCTGCTGTCAAGGGTAGTGACTGGGAAATGGGCAGGTCATAGTGGATGGCTTTACTGCAATGGGATTCCCTAACTGTGGTGGGGCGATAGACGGAACACATCCCTATCTTGGGACCGGAGCACCAAGGTAGCCAATACATAACCATTGGGGATGTTGAAATGCCTATAGTTATCCTTGGGGACCCAGCCTACCCCTTAATGCCATGGCTCATTAAGCCATACACATGCACCCTGGACAGTAGTCAGGAACAGTTCAACTATAGGCTGAGCAAGTGCAGAATAGTAGAATGTGCATGTGGATGTTTAAAAGCACGCCGGCGCAGTTTACTGACTCGGTTAGACCACAACGAAACCAATATTCCCATTATTACTGCTTGCTGTGTGCTCCACAATATCTGAGAGAGTAAGAGGGAGACGTTTGACGGGGTGGGGGGTTGAGACAAATCGCCTGGCCGCTGATTACGCGCAGCCAGACACCAGGGCAGTTAGAGCAGCAGCAGGGCACGGTGTGCATCAGAGAAGCTTTGAAAACCAGTTTCATGACTGGCCAGGCTACGGTGTGAAAGTTCTGTTTGTTTCTCCTTGGTGAAAACCCGCCCCCTTGGTTCACTCTACTTTCCTGTAAGCCAACCGCCCTCCGCTTCCCCCTTTGATCACCGCTTGCAGAGGCGATAGTAGTTTCAAATTCATTCTTTATTAATTCGTCACACAAATGGGGGGACAACTACCAAGTTATCCCCCCATTTGTGTGAGGGGTGGAGAAGGAGGGAAGCACCGGGTGGGGTGGTGGGGGAGGAGGGAAGGACAAGGCCACACTCTACTTCAAAACTTATTGAATGCCAGCTTTCTATTGCTTGGGTAGTCCTCTGGGTTGGAGTGGTTGGGTGCCTGGACGCCCCCCCCACCACGTTCTTGGGCGTCTGGTTGAAAGGCTGTGGAACTTGGGGAAGCAGGAGGTTGATTACACAGGGGCTGCAGTGGCGGTGCTCCTACTGTGCTCCTGCTGCCTTTCCTGCACCTCAACCATACGCCGAAGCATATCAGTTTGATCCTCCAGTAGCCTTAGCATTGCTTTCTGCCTCTTCTCATCACGCTGATGCCACCTCTTCTCTTGCTCCCGCCACTTGTCCTCTCATGCGTCCCTCCTGTCCTCACATGCATTTTGTGCTTTTCTGCACTCTGACATTGTCTGCCTCCACGCATTCTGCTGGGCTCTTTCAGTGTGGGAGGACTGCATGAGCTCAGCACATTTCATCACGAGTGCGGTTTTTTTTCGCCTTCTAATCTTCAC